TATGCCCAATTAACAAAGAAGCAGCTTCCATAAATAAAATAGGGCAGTTTCCTTTCTTATCTAGCTACAGCACACATAACTTTTCAATTTTTAGAAAATAATAAAGTCATTATTTTAGTTCCATATTAATTTTAATGTAAAACATTTTTTATAATAGTGTTCAAAACCTTTGTGCTCTGACACATTTAGAGCACTTTTACCTTGGCCACAAACATCCGTGTTATCAAGATTGTATTTAATAATGGTTGCATAAGACAAATTTGGGGAAGTCTGATGACAGAGAAATCTATTTTCATGGTGTTTGGTGGAATTAAAAATTTGACAGAATCCAAAAGTGTACTTGCAATATTAAAATCTACGTATTGTTTTTCCATAACCTATATTATCTCATTGAAAATATCAAGATATTTTTATAAGCATTTTCTTAAGAAGAATCACAGAGAAAACTGAGATACTGTACTAATTCCTAGATTTGGTTTTCCTTTCCATATCACCATGAAAGATTACTTTATTCAAACTTTATATTCATAACCCTCTATTTCAGGGGGTGGGCAGCTATGGCCCTTTTATGAATTATGGACTTCAACTCCCAAAATTCCTGAGCAAGCCATGCTAGCTCAGGAATTTTGGGAGTTGAAGTCCACAAGTCATAAAGGGGCCATAGTTGCCCACCTCTTTTCTATTTCCAACTTCTTGGATTAGAAGAAACGTATGTTTTTAAACTTGCATTTTTATGTGTTCTATACAATGATTAGATGTGAAATACCAGAATAATTATAGTGATAATAAAGTTTTAAATCCAACTCATAGATCACTGAATATATTATCACATGAAACATAATAGATTAAAATGAGGACAGAATAGATTAAAATGAGGACAGATTAAAGAACAAACCATTTCCCACCCTTTCATGTTTTCTATTCCTATTTAAATTAAGTTAATATTTCAGACTTGTTTTTACTGGAAGCCAAACAAAAATGATGACATGTAATTAATTATACACAGGAGCATTACAACTGATGGAAATTTTCCAGTAGGCTTTATTACCATCCATCAAATCTTGTTGATCCATATCATCGAATGCATTTTCAAGTTAAACATCTAGTAAAAGCTTTTGTATTTTCTTCTTCCTGACAAGGCAAAGCTATGTTTGATTTGTTTAGGTAGTAAGAGAAACCATTTCATACAGAAGTACATTGCTTATATTTTCTGTTATTAACCATTTTCAAAATGTTCCTTATCAAAGCTAATAAATGCATGATTATTTATTTTATGTTTATTTAATGTTTGCAAACAGATAACAAGATAGGGCTACATTTTGCTTCTTTATTCCTCAAAGCAGTATACCAAGTATTTTTAAAAGTATCCTGAGGCCACCTTTTGTACATCATGGATGATTAAGAATTATAAAACTATCTTTACCACATTGTATACATGAGTCAGAAATATCTTTTTTTTCCTGACACATCTACTAATATTTCTGATTTCATAAAATAGAGAAAAAATTATCAAAAAGCTGTTCTGACATAAGGAATAATGGTTTGTATAAGCTTGTATGCAATTCTTACTTCAACTGGTGATCACCTCAAATACATATCATACATAGAAATCAGTGGAGAATATTTGTAGCTCCAGTTTGAAATGAGGTATCCTTGGTTTTCTTGCAGATGTTTCAGTACCCAAACTAGGTAACATTATCAGCACTGATCATGTTATTAGTTTGGGTACTGAAACATCTGCAAGAAAACAATCTCAGAGAATACCAAGGACCCAAGGAGATCTCTATACAAATAGAAATCTCACATCACTAGATGTTGACTTAAACAATATATCTTGATGGAGAATATCAATATATTTAGATGAGAATAATGAAAAATGCGTAATTTCTTAATGAATCAATTGATCAAGATTAAGATCCAACATTTCCAGAGAGACACAAACAAGAATTTATAAGCCTCAAGAATATCTCAGAGAAAATAGTTCATTTACTGCACATGTAGGTCACTTAAGAGATGGAAAATTTATCTGGCGACTCACAGAATGATCACACTACAACATTAACTCAATTTGATACAGGTTGCTAGAACAGCTATTTAAGCATTCAAAAGCAATAAATAATTTCCAAGTTATTTATTACAACATATTTTGTTTAATATTTCATTAAGTATTAAATATTTTATTTATTAAATATGTTAAAACATATTTTGTTTTATAAATATACGTATTTTCTGTTACAACAAACAGCATTACTTGCATATGTGCAGGAATCAGGAAGGTATGTATTTATTTAGGGAGAAAAGTAAGAGTATTGCAATTGTAAAATACTAAGGTCTTTTTAATAATTATGAGGGTTAGTATCTTTTATGGCCTTTTCTTCTGCCATTCCCTTTTCAATAGCTGTGCCAGATGCTATTATTTAAGTACCAATTATGATGACTTGAACTGCTATTTGTTTTTTATTCCATTCTGTGCAACAATTTTTCAGATTTTGAGCTTAATTACCACTTAAGAAATGAAGGGTTCTCAAATTGATTGTTCTAGGTTTCAATCTAAAACTCTCTATCAGCTCTCTTTTCAGTCTAATGTCAGTTTCACTTTTAGACATTATTCAAATAAACAGGAATAATAGAATGTATAAAAGAAATGCCAATTATAAATACAATTTAAGAACTGAGTCATATTGCTAGAATTCTTCTAATTGCTGAAAATGGCCTTTAGAACCTTGAAGAAATTACATAACTAGATTCTGAATGCCAATTTATTGCTTATTTCTTTTAATCCTTTTATTATAATCTCCTTATATGTGACTTCTGGCTGTTTACTGGCTTCTCCGTGTTACCTGACTACAGGTAAACACTGTTGCAGCTGATCATTTTCAGAAAAGACAGATTAGATAAAAAACGGTAATTTGGTTACTAGGCAACTGATTGTTCAATATTGAAAATTCTCTATCCATCTGATAATTTACTTGATAAATTATCAAATTATAGATATATGACAGTCCCATGGCTTCTCATTTAAAGGTTTTATATTTAACTTCACCATTAATAAAAATTAAAGATTTGTATATTTTTAAAGAAAAGAATCAAAGGTTAATTTCAGAATAATTTTATTCACAATAAAAGAAAATGGTTGCTTAAAGAAGAGACAGATGCAGTATCAAACATAACTATAACTAAGACAGTTCAGCTCAAGTCATATTACATATGGATTTAGCTACCAATCTGCTAGGAAATGAACATAATGGATGACACTGAGTTATAGTGCTAGCTATTCATTCTTCTATTATGTCCTCTCAGGTCATTCTTAAATTTGTAAATAAAGGCAATGGAATAAGGTGAATTAATCTAAATACGAAGTATTTGAAGTACATGAAGACACTTTTATTGTCCAAATGAGAATAATTAATTAACTGTGCAACACTTAGCCACATTTTGAAAGATAAAATGTTTACCCAAATTTACAAGAATCTGTCTCTAAAAGATAATTATGGATCGACAATTAATTCCCCTTGGTGTGAAATCAATGTAATACATGCATTCAATGTTGATGCCAGTGTGTTCCTGTTTTAAAAATAAAATGGCACTAATTAAAGCAGAAGCATAAGAATATTTCATTTTATGAATTAATTCTAATGTGATACTGAAAAAGAATTTCCAGAATATTAGAAATTGATAACTTATGCCTGCATACTTGCAAAGCCATCATCAGATTCATACCATTGGTACTACTCCCATTTTTAAACTGATACTGTAAATTATCAGCAAAAAATTTAGGTTATCAACGAAATCCCTCTGAAAATCACCTAGATAGTTTATCATATTAACACTATATTAATATAACAGTTTCATCATAATGGAACTTCTCTAAATGTTAGTAAATGACCAACTTAAGTTTTTATGAGATAGATATATTGGTACATGTAAAAAACCTTCAGCAATAACTGTGCCACATACATTGTTATTGTAATCCAGTGAAACTATTTGAAATTATCTGTAATCCAACAAAATTATTTGTTATGATTTATCACATTAACCATTCAATGATAAAGAATCATAAAATATTAAATATATTTTTATTATGATATTAGGGTGATTATCAGTTCCACACAATGTGTTATCATTTATACTGAATACCTCAAGGAATGTTCAGAAAGAGTTAAGTTACTTAAATTTAAGCATAAAGATTAAGCTTTATATGCTATTAGTACAGGTTTGCTCCATTAGTTTTCTGTTTTGATTTATTATCAATAAGTTTTTTCACATGGTGTATGAGCTAAAGATATTGATTTGATATTTTATTAATGAATATTAAATAGAAAATTAAGTTAAGAAAAGTTACCCATTTCCTTCAAGAAGTCCCTGAGAAAATCTGCCCTTAGTCTGAGAACTGCAGGTCCTATCCTATTAACTTAAATTGAATCACACTATACATGGGAGAACTTAGCCTTCTTCCAAAACACCAGTAAAATGTTGTAATAAAACCATAAAGAAGGCTGTGCTTCTTAAACATATCTCATATCTCAGAAATCAAGAGTACTTCCAAGAACTTTGAGTCTGAGGCAAACAGAAATTAAGGCAGTCACAGAAGTATTGACCTATACATTGGCATTTGATAATTCTAGATTCCCTTAATTACAAACAAAGACTGGCAACAGAATTGATCCAGGCTTTAATATGTTCTGGCATGATGTATTCTTGCATGTCAAAAAGAAATCAGACTTTTATATTATGTATTTTGAAGCATAGTTTTGAAAATATAATAGTTGAATGTATGGAACTTTTTCTAGATATTTAAGATAAATAATTCTTGAAACGTTAATATATGCAACATTTTTTACATCACAACAACAAAATAGGGTTTATATAAAGAATATCTATAGAGGAACTGATTTTGCAATGATAATTTATCACGTCACAAATATTGACAAAATTAAATTCAACGTATGAGCTATGCATAAACATTAGATTTAAATTAAGATTTTAACATTTTTACTTACAGTTGACACTGGTCTCCTTTGATTCCTTTTGTTGTACAGAAGCATTTTCCTGTTTGCATGTGACATATATTTGCATGACCACTGCATGTGCAGGCTATAAAATCAGAAAGGGTTTAACAGTTACATTACAATTATTTTTAATACAATACTTTGTATATCAAGACTATATATTTGATAGAACAATGATTATGACCTGAACATTAAACAGCCGCCCCTCAAAAAAAAAACCAAGGGATCATTCAGTCTCATTGGGTTTTAACTAATAGAAAAGAGGATATACTGTACTGATTTAAAAAAAAAAACTTTTTATTTTCCAATGCAATTTCCTTCTTGCAAAGAAAAAGAGGAAGAGGGGGAGGGTAAAAAGTGTAAATAGAGGCACAGTGTTTAGCACAGAAGCTAGCTTAAGACTTTAAAGTTCTTACGTATATAGTTCTATAATTTTGGGGGGAGTTATCTCATATTTGTTCTTTTACCAAATATAATAAATATAACTAATAAATATAACTAATAACTAATAAGCAATAACATTTGCAGAAATCAACATTAAGCCCAAGAAATTATCACTTTCCATATCTCTGTAAGCACTTAAAAATAAATAAAACATTCAACCAAATGTTTGGCAAAATACTTAATGATATTCCAGAATTGGCTGGATAGATAAATAAAGCAAAAAAGAGATATTCAACTAATCAATTAAGAATCATATAAAACACACTATCTCAGAACAAGAAAATGCATTCATTCAAGCCACAAGTGAGGACTAGCTTTTTTATAAGCAAAGAACCAAATATTTCCTTCAGCAAGGTTTAAAGAAACCTTAAGCATGAGTCTATTTGTCCTGAAACATCTAATATTCTTAGCAACAATATGAAAATAGTTTATCATTATCTTCTGATAATGAGATGTATTGTTGAGTCTAGCTGAAAGCCAATCCAAATACTGTCATTATATGATGATATTTGTTGTCCAGTCACTAAGTCGTGTTTGACTGTTTGTGATGGAATATCAAAAGTCCTTGTATAATGACAGTAACTGGGCTGGAATTTCCATCACCAAACATTGCAGCTGTAATGTAGTCTGTCATATGACAGCACCATTTAGGGACAGCGCTCCCAAAAGTTACTGATTGTTGTTGAGTCATTAAGCAAGGACATTATAATTTAAACGCCACCTTACAATTTTTAGCTTGTTATTTTCTTTCCATTCCAACTCTTATATCTCTGATTTCCTTTGAAAGAGAGAAAATAACCTTTTTCCTGAACAGATTTGAAACCGGAAAATGTCAACTAACAATATCCTGATCATTTGCTACTTTATCACCAGGCCAAGCACACCCAAGAGAACTGCCCACAGCAGTAATGTTGCATAGCAACTTCAAGCCACCTCCTCTTTACAGTGCCAACCTTAGAAAATAAAGGTTGCAGTTAGGAAAAGGCCAGAATAGCTTAAGGTATTTTATGACTTAAATCAGAGCAACAGATGTATGCTATGCACCAATCCTAATTCTTCATGCATCTACATTTTAAAACTGACAATGTTATTTATCTTTATCAATGTTATTAAAGAAAATGTTCAACAGGAATAAACTATAAGTATAAATTATAAGGATGCACTTTCTCTAAAGTAACACTAGCTGCAGCTACCCCCATAAAACTTTGGAGTATTTTCTGTAAAATGTACTTGAAATTTTCATTCAACATTGGTAACAAGATATATAGTACAAAAAATTGTAATGTAAACTTATAGCTTAATATTTGCCATTTTTAACTTCAATTAATATATACTAAATGAATTAAGTGGCGTAGACATTAATTAGCCCTTTTTAAAAACAAGGAGCTAGGATAGGACAAGATATAAATCACTGCAATAACTGTGAAAGAGGCAAAGCATCAAGGATTTAACTGAGAATTTGACTTCTTTTAGCTAAAAAGCCCCTGTTGCTTATACTAGAATTAATGTTCTGCTGTCATTTGTGAGCAGAAAAGTCATGCCTCTTTAGCACAAATAATTCACTTTTCAACTCTTCTCTCTACTGACTGCCTGTTGTACCATAACCTCTTATTATTCTCAAGGCTGATGGGGTATGCTGGGGAGAGAATACAGAAAAATAATGGAAAATCCATTGTGTGAAGAAAGTATTCGGTAGACTTGGACAGATGTATAATAAGTGTAATAACCAACAGTACAATCTCATTCACACTGCAATAGTAGACGTGCTTTAAAGAAAAACCCATGGCATAGAAATTTAATAATAATGCTAGGATTTTTTTCCCTAAAAGTCTGACTTGTATCATAATCAACAACATCATTTAATCAGAGCAAGGTAATTGAAAAGAATAATGCACTTGATATCGTCTTTCATTTGTAGTCTTAAATTGGGATTACTGTTATTTTATTGCCTATCTAATCAAGAGAACATTACCATCAATTCACTGAGAAGCAATAAAATTCTGAAACACAATTGATAAATAAACAATAAAAAATGCCAAGCGAGGATTATATAATTAAATATATTTCTTCTTTGTTGAAATTGTTCTGAAAAATATTGTTCTGAATAACTATGAAGCAAACTGAACTCAAAATAAAAAAAATGATTTACTATTTATTTTCTCAAAGATGATAAATAAACGGGCTTTTTTTGTTGTTGTTCTTAGTTGCGAAGTTGTGTCTGACCCATCGCGACCCCATGGACAACATTCCTCCAGGCCTTCCTGTCCTCTATCATCTTCTGGAGTCCATTTAAGCTCACACTTACTGCTTCAGTGACTTCTTTCAGCCACCTCATTCTCTGTCGTCCCTTACTCTATTGCCCTCAATCTTTCCCAACATTAGTCTCTTCTCCAGTGAGTTCTTCCTTCTCATTAGGTGGCCAAAGTAAAATTAATGTTTTAAATATCAACAATTAATTATTATAAACAGTAGCTTTTACAGCAAACTATATTATTGGTTTAGTTATTTCAGAACAGAGATCAAAACTGTTATATCATACAAAAGTACATAAACATAAATAAAACATTCCTAATTATGTTTATAGACAAATCAATGCCTATGAATTACAATGAATTCAACAACAATTCCTAAAATAGGTCCAAGTTCTCGTTATAAAAACTGCCACTGAGCAAAAATAAGCAATTTTCTTAGACCTTTCATCGCAGCAGTCTACTATCAATAGTTATCTCCTTTCCTCATCTGGCTGGTCCAGTCAGCATGCTGCCAGATGAGTGTTAATGTTGAGTGCTAAGAGAGGTATAGTATATGGAGAAACGTGACAAAATACAGAAAACTGGTTTTCTTGAATCTCCTCAACAGAAACTAAAGAAAAGAGAGATGTTCTTAAATCTGTCCTTCAAAACTATAGATGGCATTGCAAAGAAGGCAGCATGCAAGAAACTATTCCCTAGGGCACACCAAATATTAGTAAAGGAATTTAACTGGCATAAAAGTGAAGGTCTCTGCATAGACTTTCTATAGAACTGTAAGAGATACTATTTAGTCCCACCATAGATCTCATATAATTTTTTTATCTCTAGAGATATAACCTTGTTGAAACAGAAATGAGATGAAAATTTAAATCTGTAATTATTCTTTGATTTTTCTGAAGAAAAAATGAACTTGTCCTTGAGAATTAATGTTTGTGAGAGTCTTTCATACAGTTTACTTTTAATCAATATTTTAGCTGGCAAGTTCTCAGACATATGATATCTCTAAGGAACTGAAAGCAGTTTGTAAATGTAAAAGTGCCTTTGGACAACATCAAGTCAATGCAAAGCATTACATTGATCAATTTATTTTGGACCACGTTTAATACTCTCAAGTTCTTCAACCCCCAAAATTATGCATGCAAAGCATTTTCTTTAATACCTTAAAGACTTTTACTGCTGCTGGCAAAACTATCACTGAGGAATAGAGCTATAGGTTTCTGTATCTGTGCACTCTGATTTAAATTTTCCAAGTTAAGATTAGCTGAAGAGTAAATACCCTAAGAATTTAAAATCCTCTGCTTTTTCTGTTATATTATCTTTTAATTATGCAATTCCTTTTTGCTGATTTTAAATTTATCAGTTTACTAATATAATCAAGCAATCATATAGATTGTACTCAAAAATAAATTCCATTCATTTAAATAAAGTTTATTCTCAGATGTAAATACAGAACTGCAAATATACAAAATCTTATAGGGTAAATAGGGCTCTATTTTTTCTTAAATATTTCAACATCAACAATTATTCATTCAGTAAATGAATTCAAAATAAAACAGCAACTACGTGATTGAATCCATTCATCATTATTTTTTATATTTTAAAGCAATGTATCATATCTACTTATTTTTTATGTTATACTGGATAACTGTTATTTAGTAAACTGTCATGAGGCAGTTTGGATTTGGTAGACAGATCTAATAACATAAAAAGAAATAAATCTAGGAATAAGATCACCATGCTCTTGTCTGTTAAATTAATTATATACAAAACCTTCATGTATTCATGCATTTTTGCATGAATTTGTAACCTACATTATTAGAATTTCCTCCAAAGCAGAAATTAAGTCAGTTCAAGAAACCACTTTTCTACACAAAATAGGATCATGATAGTCTTTGGTTTTTATTTAAATCAGAATTACCTTCTAATTTCCTAGCCTCCTGGTTCAATATGCTTTATTTCCCTTTCTGGCAGCTTGACTACATGGACATTTCAATAACATCCTCTGAAGTATTCATTAAAGATATTGAAGACATTTTATTTTATTTTTAGTTAATTTAATAAAAACAGTTGAATAAAAGGACACCTTTGATAATTTAATCAGCCATATCATCTATATCTTTTCTATCCCTGCTCAAACAATAGAGTATATTATTGGGGGATAGAGCAACATATGTCCCCTTCTCCAATTTTTCTAAAAATAATTGCATCAGCTGATGAACTATGGTTACCTTCGTCATTTTCATTCTTTTTTAAAAAAGCTCTGGTCTTTGTTATACTTTAAGCAAGAAAAATGAACCTATATTTTTCCCAAGGTTAGTTATCAATAATTTATATTATAATAAAATGATATGAAAATAAACTGTCATACTTACTAGTGAATCTGTTTCTATAGACAGTTCACAGACAGTTTTTATACATTACATTAAACACAATTTAAACCATTGAGTTTTCAGTGACATAATCATGTTCTTTAGGATATTCTCAGGATTGGTAATGCATCTTCTTTCTATTTGAAGGATAAATACTTGTCTATCAGCCAGTTTTATAAAGCATAAGGTTCAGTATAGAACTCAGAATAAAAATGTCATATTAAGGGAAAGTATTTCTGTCAATGTTCCTCTACAAGCTAAAATGAAGATAGCAGAATGTCACAAGATTCAAAACATATCTGAAAATGAGAGAAATATTAAAATAGGTAAAATTACATAAATGGTGTACTACCATCTAATGTTATAAAATCAATGTCCAACAGAACTTTCTTTATGCCTATAGTTTTCATCACAGCATCAAAGTATCACCCAATTTTCAAATATTCATTTATTTAACTCAACTGTGCCCATTTATATATCGGGTACATCCATAACACTAGAACTTTGTGAACTTGAAAAACTTTTCAACATTACCTGTGCACTGTCCTCCATTTGTTGGATCTCCATAATAACCGGGCATGCATGTTTCACACTGTTTTCCAGTAGTTAGATTTTTGCATTGGTCACATACATTGCCATTAATGCAGGTGCTATGTCCATTACATTGGCAAGCTGCAATTAAAACAAAACAAATAAATAAATACACACACAGACACACACACACACACACACACACCTATATATATATGAAAAGACAAAGAAAAGGAATAGTCATTCTTAAAAAGTACAGAACACTGTGATTAGCATCAACAAATGTGTTTAGTAAACTAAATAAATATTAAATTTAGAGTAGTTGATGGAGAAGAATATAAGAATATAAAGAATATACCTTATGTATATTACTTGCCTATGTGCAATCTAAATTTCTTTTATTAGGAACCTTAGATTATGTTCCTTTGCTGCAGAGATGGCAATACAGAGAAAAATACATATTGCAATTCAGTTACAGAGAGAAGATATAATGAGACAGGTATGCTATAAAAGAGTATTGCTCTTGGCCATGCAACACCTTCAGATCAAGGGCTGGCCTTTGTACTCCAAATATCTGCAGGAACTAGCAGAACATATTAAGGAAGAGAGTGAAGGAGGCCAATAGAAAGAGGCAATTGCCAAACAAACCATGGAAAATCAATCAATTTCTTCCTACAGTAGTAGCCGTGTCCAGTAACCCAGGTTCCCTTATGACAACAGTAAGAAAACTAATATAATTGGCCATTTATAGAAACAACTAAAACATTCACCAGTCTAACTCTTTGCCTATGATGGTACATTGCCTGGTGAAATATGTAGTAGATTAAACATACAAATCTCATCAACAAATATTTATTAACCAGCTTCCTGGTCCTGCTATATTTGTTCAAAAACAAACAATATCAATGTTTCGTATCCTAGGGAAAACCATTATATTCCTCTTAGTCTCTCTGGCCTGATGATTCTTGAGTGCCCTTATTACTAATTACCCTGTTGCTGACTTACATGGATCATTATTCCTTGCTATCCACAATGCCCTGAACTAATGTAGCATATCTGCTTTGTGCATGCTTCTATTTTGATGGTTATGAACATGTTTCTGTCTCTTTTTCACACTCTGTGGCCAGAATAAAGCAAAGTCTTATGATACCAAGGTTCTGCTGATGAACAAACCTAAAGAATGTTTGCACTTGCGAATCATGGCAGTTCGTTCAAACAATCTCACTTCTCAATCACTGTCTTTTTATTTCTCTGCCATTTTAACAGATCATTTTTAATTCCTCATACTGTGAGGGAAACTCGAGAAAAGAGTTTCTATTGAGGCTCAAAAATAAATCAATACATACATACCCAACAGCAGTTAAGACACATATACCGCTTCACAGTGCTTTACAGCCCTCTCGAAGCTGTTTACAATGTCAGCATATTGCCCCAACAATCTGGGTCCTCATTTTACCGACTTTGGAAGGATGGAAGGCTGTCATCCTATGCTTTGCTTTTGATATCAAGTTACCAATTTTCTGAGTTTCTTATTATGCCTATATTACTGATAGTTATAGATTTTGAGGGATGTGTTATTGGGCAATAACCCAATAACTACTTACTAAGACTAGTACACTACACATACTAACACTATGCGAACTATAGGAAAAAGGTTCTCTGCAATCAACAGGAATATGTAGTCAGGACAGTTTTTAAATTATTAATGCAGCCACACAACATGAACTATTATATAAATTCCAATTATTATGCTGATAGAAGAAAACATATTTATAATGTGTGTTATTAGTAAAATACTTTGAGTCTTCATACAAAATTGAGTTCCCAAGTATATTTTGACATTTAGCCACTGGGTAAAACAGATGCACTGATGAGCTTTAGTAAGTACTGCAATTTTGTATATTGCTTATATCCAATGATCTATCTTAGAGATAACTATATATGAACCACAAAATCCTTTTTACAGAAGCATGACAATAAATAAAACCTAAGGCATTATACTAACAAATCAATAAATTAGTTTTGATCCAGTTGAATGATTCATATTAAGAAAATTTATATGTGGCTGCTTTGATAACAAACGACATGTTTTTTTTTAATAAAGACCACATGTTACCTTAAAAGTAAATAAATAATTGAATTAAATATTCACTGTACATACTGTCCCAGATGCTACAGTGAAATTGAATTGCAACCAAATGCTTACTTACTTAAGAGCTCAGCTAAATGTGGTATTCGTTACATACCAGAACAGCAAAAATCTATTCCTCTTCATTTTGGAAAACTGCCAGATGATCTCTAGAATGACTAGATTAGCTAGTAGGACATTTTGAAGTTCCCCAGAATGTTTAGTCTCTAAAGATGGTCTGATTTATATAAGCTTTGTTCCTACTATAAATTTGTCAAGATATAAAGCTCTAAAATCTCTATGGAATGTATTATTACTCTAGTATTCAAAGAAAACTCCAGACAGAATATGTCCTATCTTTAGACATAAAAAAATTATCAGGTTTTAAAACCATTTTTAAAACATTTACACTATTTCTGTCGAATCAAAACAACACTTGAAGAGAAGTATCAAAAATGATAACTTTTGACTACATGTTCAGTATGATTTAACAAACTTGAAATTTGACATAGTTTTTAAAAGATAACAAGAATAACTGAGGGACACTTTATGGATCAAGATCTATATTTGAAAAACTTTTAATACATACTAACCAACAAAATATTTATGTTTCTCATATCCCAGTCCAAAATCCCATTTTTGGAAGCAAACGATTAACCAGCCATAATTTCACTGATAAAAGCACTAACAAGACTAACAACAACAGTAACAAATTCATCATACCTGGGCATTGGATAAAAGACCATTCGTAATTTTTTTCTTTAGCACAAAGATTGTTGTCAATAACTATTTCAGTAGAATGTGTCCCACTGAATTTCACTGGCCCTCTTGCTGAGCCTTCTACACAATGGCCTTTGCCTGTATTACTGGGATCATTGCACCATCCACATCCTGGATGTTCCAGACACTGACTGCAAGTCCTCAACCCCGAACAGTTTTGAGCTGTAAATACACAGGATAAAGAAAAATCAGTAAAAGCTGAGTTTGCATAAGAGGATTTATAACTTTAAGTCTAAACTTTTAAGTTTGAGAAATCAGATTGATAGAATTAACTTTATTACCACTATCATGTCTAGCTACTGTATGTGTCTATGGCTATAGAATAGGGTAAGGATATAACAACAACAAAAACCAATGGCAAACTCAATAAACCTATATAAAATATTTCAACAAATATACATATATTTGCTGCCTTCAAGTCTGTGTCAACTTCTGGCCTGAATAAGCTCCTGAAATTTTCTTGGCAAGATTTTTTAAAATGGTTCGCCACAGTCTTTTCCCTAGGGCTGAAAGAGAAATAATGATTGGGACAAAGTCATCCAACTGATTTCATGCCTAAAGCAGGACTAGAATTCAGGCTCCTGGTTTTTGGTGTGCTGCCTTAACCCAGGGGTGGGATTCAAATTTCTCAACAACTGGTTCTATGGGCATAGCCTAATTTGTGGGTGTGGCTTGGTGGTCATGTGATTGGCTGGGCATGGCTTGCTGACTGGGTGTGGCTTGGGTATGACTGGGTGTGGCTGGCTGGGCATGGCTTGTATGTAAATATTATAAATATTGATGTAAATATTGATTTTTTTTATAAAAAAGAACAACTTTTACCCAAAATCAGGCAAAGCAGGCCTGATTGAGATTGAGTTGCTCACACAAATGACAGATTCACTCAGAGATCTACCATTCTGCAATCTGTTAGCTGAATCTGCACTGAAAAATAGAAGCTTCAGTCCTTAGGAAGGTTCAGCTCTGCTTTTAGATTATCTAGATTAAAGCAAGAAATCCATCCATTTCCTGCTTTCTAGCTAATCTAAATCTTCCAGCACAGCAGAACAGCTGATGGTCAGGAAAAGAAAAAGAAAAAATAGCAACATATCAAATGCAGGCAAGTTTGATGGCGTGCATGCCAGGTAAGGAGTGAGTGGGCAGGGAGGGAGGGGCCAGCCAGTGGCACGATTTGCCAGTTCTCCAAACTGGGCAGAATCATAACAACCAGTTTTATAAAACTGGACTGACCAGGTAGAATCCCACCCCTGCCTTAACCCACAAATAACCAAACTCTTTAGTTTTTCAACCCCTTCAATAAGTTTCATGTGGTTGTTTGACATACCCCCAAAAAAACAATTTATTACACAAAGCAGCAAATAGCATCTCTAGCCAAGATCATTAGATTAACATCTTAAATTGCACACTATAGGCAGAATCTCCGTTTTCAGATTAATCAGAAATACTTTTTCCAATCCATCAATGGAGAGACTGCAGCGAGCCTTTGTTTCTTCTGACAAAAGAAGAAACAGTGGCGCTATGGAACAATCCAAAGAAATACAATAAAAACGCAACTTAGATAAAGGAGGCAGATTAAAATAAAAAATTAAAGAACTTGTAATAGCACAAAAATTGTGGAGAAAAACACAAAGAAGAACTGGTCAGTATAGATGAAAATAAACTGCATATTTTGGTTGACTGGTCTACAGTCATTGATTGCCAAGCAGTTTAAAAACATACTGCAAGGAGGTAAAATTGCCAGATTGGTGAACATCTGGCAAAACTTAGCTGATAATGAAATATACAGCAAAAGAATAAAAAAAAAAACTCAGGCCAATCAGGATACAATATAATCAATGCTGTTGATACTCAGTTTTACTCATTGCCCTGGACTGCATGAGAGATGCTATTAATCTCTTAGTGATCAAAGGCTGTAAGAGTCTATACGAAAGAGAACAGACTTTCACCCAAATAAGATGGAATCACTATTTATACATTGAGGTTCTCTGCCAATGACAATGTTGCATTTAGATGAGCAGGCATACAGTAGGTTTGCAATATAAAAGTCTTTCTGGAGTCACAGGTCTTTGCTCAAGTTTAGCTGTTAACCATCCAGGAATAGATGCAATATTTTTCTAGAATAGAATGGTTTCCAAACTGAAAGCTGTTCTGTCTTCTGGGCTTAAACCTAAGCATGCTCCTCTTATCCAGATTGTAACAACTGATCAACTATAACACCCTCAAGATATCTAAGCACTGCTTTGATATGACATTTGATGTGAAGTTGAGTATCATCAGTGTAAATCATGGGTGTCAAACTCGTGCCCTGCAAGCTGGATGTGTCATGCGCTGGCTACGCCAACCCCCAGTTTAGCAAAGGGGAAAAGTCGTGATATGCTACATGATGACAACATGATGCCGCAAGTTTAACACCCCTGGTGTAAACAGATAATTAACCATGAAGCTGTTTAATAAACCCCTGAAGAGTTTAGGGTTCAATCTCTCTGTCCATCACCACCAAGTAAAACGAACTCTTCATGAAGAAGGACAATTACAAATAGAATTTGTTTAGACTGTTCGCATTTACAAATGATGAAAAGTAATTTTACAACTAATTTTCACATTTATGACCTTTGCAGGTCTGTAAAGCAATAAGCATTTCACTATTTCACTTAGTGACTGTTTCGGTTAATGACTAAATTGCCAGTCCCAACTGTGATTTCTAAATGAGAACTATCTGTACTGTGTCACAACACTCAGTGTACTCATACCTCCAAAACATGGAAAACTATTGAGAATGTGTATATAATGTTCTTCTAAACTATAACAAGCATGTTATAGAAGTTCATTGAGTTTTTGAAACTTATGCTATAAAATAATTTCATAGATATAGAGTTCAGTTACAGAGAATTGAAACTTATTGTCCTAGCATGGTCTGATAAGATTTCTGCTTTAAATGTCCTATCAAACTCCACCAGGGGTGGGATTCTTCCAGTTCACACCTGTTCGCTAGAACTGGTTGTTAACATTCTAAGCAGTTCAGAGAACCGGTTGTTAGAAGAAATTACTGGCTTAATCCTGTAAGTAAGGCAGGAAGGAAACATTCTGGTGTTGCTTATAGAAACTGCCTCTCTGTTAACCCTTATTACGTTCTTGGCAGGACTAGACTTCCTATCTCAGGAACTTCTCTGGAGTTTTTTTCCCTCCTTTGCTGGTACTTTGCTTGTATGGAGTGACCATTCAAAGTTACAATGGCACTGAAAAAAGTGACTTATGACCATTTTTCACATTTACGATTGTTATAGTATCCCCACAGTCATGAGAGGCCAGGCGAGGAGATGTGTGCCTCGATGTGAGTGATATTGAGTTGGCCACGCCCAGCCAATAACATGACCTCCAAGCCATGCCCACCAACTTAACCATATTCATAGAACTGGTTAAAAAATTTGAATCCCACCCCTGAACTCCAACCTACTGTTAGCGCACAGTCAAACCACATTTCAAATGAAAATCAAAGAACACTTAAAGTTTCAAAATATTTGCATAGATAATATTGGTTGACTGTTATACATCATCAGTTCTAAGAGGAAGAGTTTTTGGGTTAATTCATTGATGATCATATGAATTTTGGTGTTGGACTTTAGACTTATGCATTAAACAACTTGCTTTGATTTTTATTACTTCAGGGTTTTTTTCTTCAAATAAATGCATCTGATGCTTATAACATAATGACACAAAAGTCAAATAAAAGCCTAATATACTGACAGGCCTCATAGAGGATCAGAGTATCAATACAAAACTACTGGAAACTGATAGAATTATATCCTTAAAAGAAAACTGTTCACATTCCAAAACACTATTACAGAAAATTATAACATAAAATTTCCCTATAAAGCTACATGTAAAGAATCAATTTACTACTTATTCCACATGAATTAAAAAAGTGATGTACTTCTCGACTGAATTCAACTTTGACTTGAATTGAAATGGAAAGCATAAACTATGTATTAAATAATAGTTTATAAATGTCATTATTAAGGTAACGTGAAAATACAAAACAAATGCACACAGCCCGGTTCAGCACTAGTTCATTTAGTTATTTAAAAAGGCTATAAGTAGCACCCAGATTAAGCTACAATGTCAAAATGTCACATATGTTATGATGTCGTCAGGCAATGACAGCATATCTAAGCAAAATGACATCATTTGTCATTTACTTTCCCTCTCTCCCTTTGTAGTCACCTATGAAAGGAAATATACAAATAGAAGCTTAATTATACTGCAGCTCCATTCATATACAGTAGAGAATAAGAAATTTTATATTTGAATATGATAGTTTATATGCAAGTATATGAATATTATTATTTTAACCTAATGAGAAAGGAAATATCATTACATTATATTTTATCTCAGAGAATCATAAGCATTCTAGTTCTTTATCTATATAAATGAAAAATGAAAAAATCATTATCAGCAAATAGTTATGGGTCATATTATGATATTGTATGTTATGCTGTTTGTCATTTTATTTTCTGTGAACTGCTTTGATCACTATGAACAGCAGAAAATGCTACACATTCAGTGGAAAGAGCTAAATGACAACATTTACATAGGATTTTGTTTCTACATAGTTAGTTTAATTTGTTCTCTGATGTCTTGAAACATTGCACAAACAATTTAATAATATGGAATAGAGGGGCCGTCTCCCTTAAAATTTTATTCAAGTACATTTCTAAATTAAAATTATGGTGGTTGACCCAGAATTGTTCTTGCAATGCCACTAGTGACATTAAGAAAATAAAATATCCTCCAGAACAGCAGGCACAAATTATAGCACAAACTAATATAGAATAGAATGGTAACATCTTACTATTAATTAAATGCATTTGAAAAAAACTGATAAACCAATATTTACTCTTGGCAAAAATAGAACTAAAGAGCTAAAAATATAATTTTGTAGTAATCTCTTTTTTCTTATCATACTTAAGCTATGTAAAGAATATAGGTAGTCGTACTTAGCAACCACAACTGAAATCAACAACTCCATTGCAAAGTATACAGTGTGAAATATGAGACCAATGCCAGTTATGGGTGCAATCATGATGCAAATCACCCAGTCATTAAGAATGACATCTTATGACCATGACTTGTGATTTCATGCCAGCTTCCCCAATGAATTTGCTTGGCACAAAAAAAAAAAAAACCCTCAAGATGCTGCAACCATCGTAAATGCACAATAGTTGCAAAGTATCCAAATTGCAATCATTGGCTGGGTTCAAATGCATAAACTTTTTGCTATCAGATTGTTCAAATTGAATGGAAACAGACTATAGCTCAGAAGCTGGCAACGCAGTCTCCAATAAATACAAGGCCATTAATTGCTTCCCACAGTTAAATCTTAATTAAAATGATAAAAGGGATTGAAGGAATTGTTAAAATCTCATCAAATTCAGTGGGCATGAAGCAAAACTCTGCAAGGTCTCATGAAAAAATGTCCTAACTTTTTGCATAATAGCTGCCAAACTCATGCGCAGTGTTCTAGGTAAGGCATAACAATTTCAAAGATTTATAGCAATGGAGATATCTCTAATGTCTGCTGGTCTTTGTTCTAGAACATTATCTTCATTAAGTGGGCAAGGCTGGAATGTGGAAATTTATTTTTTTATTGGCTATATAGAAATACAATTTAAATATAATTCTTGATGTATGTTATGAATTAATAAGCCATATTAGGTTTATTTTATACATATCTTTATATCCCTGTCTGAAATGACAACTAAATTAAACAGAGTTCTTCAACTGTCTTTTATTTAAACACACACAAAAAAAGAGTAGCCTGGGTAGGATAGCTCTAGAAACAAATATTAAATATTTAAATTTGCAAAAACTGAATTCAAAGCTGCTTTCTAGTGGGGAAATACAGTAGACTTAAGCATCCAAATTTAATTCATTACATAAACCAGAAAAGAGGTATTTTTCAAAACATGCACAAACAATATGTCTATCACACTTAGTGACATCAGCTACTCAGGACTGATTAGACCATAGCAAATATACAAGCTATTTAGCAATTCCAGAAGCTTCACATCATTTGTCAATTTCCATTATCAGTTTCAATTTTTCTACAATTGAAATGGCTAATAGTAAAAAAAAAAAAAAGAAAGGTTAAAGAACCCCCTTTCCATATAAATTTGGAGAGTGGGATGGGAGCAAATTTGTTTAATGGTTTTCTGGACTTCTGCCAATTTGTCCAAATCCTATTAGGAATATTTGACTACAGCATCTGAGACATATTGGAAGAAAGCAAGAAGCTAATAATTTCTAGGTTATGTTCAGCATAATAAAGGTTAACAAAACTGGGTTCTCCAGATCAGAGCTGAATGTTGCCTAGCAACCAAAGTGGAAGACAGATACATTTCAAAAAGTTATCTGTTGAAGAATTTTTATCATTATTGTACCCTAAATTAAACTAACATCTTTAATTCTAATCCCTTGTTGTTGTTGTTTCCCAGTCAACATTGAATAAAGATTAAAAATTTATGGATTATGTCACATTTCTTTAGAAGCATAAGGCTGTTAATACGTCAGAAAAAATAATGTATTGTTATGGTTTCCCGGCAGCAGGTGCGGACGGCTGAGGACTCGGAGATCAAGGACTCGGATGCGGGGCCTGTGTGTGATGCAGGGATGGGATGCAGGGATGCAGGACTATCAGAGAGTGGAATGCTGCCTTCGGAGATTATGAAGGCTGGCAGAAGTGATGCAGAGGACCCCAAAGACCCTGTGCCCAGTGCGTGTGCATGCAGGGCTGCTCGAAGGAAAGAGCAGCTGCAGCAGCACGGGCGACTCAGGAGTAAGGCGGAAAGGTAATGACCTCTCCCTTAAGAGATAAAAGCCAGCCTGAGAGACCGGGATTCTTTGCAGGAAGCAAAGAAGTTCTTGCACTTCAAGCCTTGTGGACATTCAGACTATCCTGGTTTGTGTTTGAAGACTTTTTATTTTGAATAGTTCTTGGCAACTTAATCTAGTGTTCTTGGCAGCCTTGCACAACCTTGGCAAGACTTGTTCTTATCAGAGACAATTAGTTTTCATAGCCTTTTAACTGTGAATGAATGGAATTCGCAGAGAAGCATTAAAAGATTTTGCTTTTACCTCTGTTTGGTGTTTGTTTCCTTGGAACAAGGTTTGTATATTAATGATATAAAACTCCACAATTCCACTTGGCCTTGCTTGAAAATAATGGACAACATTAGAGAAACAAATGGATGAGAGAAGCTAGTGAACAGTGAACTAAATTAGTATATTGTTGCATTGAATCCTACTTTTGAGATCAACAAAACAAATGTGAAATATGATAGCGGCTCATGTATTATTTGAAATCAGAAAAGGAATAGGAACTTTCTTAATCAAAATCTGAGTTTCTGAGGGCAGAATAGTATAATATGCCTTAATGATTTTGGTATTTTTATAACATTGTTGAAAGTAAGGTGGATTACCATATAAATTTTATTAAATAAATGAGCAAACAAACCTTTGCCAGTCAGCAAGCAAGCTGTTAAGTACAGGTAGTCTTCAACTTACAACAGTTTGTTCAGTGAATATTCAAAGTTGCACTGAAAAAAGTGAGTTATGTCCATTTTTCAGCCTCCCCAAGATCATGTGATCAAAACTCAGACACTTGGCAACTGATTCATATTTATGACAATTGCAGTGTTCCAGCTTTTGCAATTTTTTGACAAGCAAAATCAATAGGGAAGCCAATTTTACAACTGTGCTACTAACTTAATAATTGCAGTGATCCACTTGACAAATGGCAAGAAAGGTCATAATATGAGCAAAGTTCACTTAACAAATGTCTCACTTAGCAACAAAAATTTTGGGTTCAATTATGGTCATAAGACGAAGAATATCTGCATGTATAACTTTCTTTCAAAAAAATTAAATAAATTACTTAAGTAGCAGATAAAATTGCTATGGAGTGCAAGTTTCCAGTTCAGTTCTAAATTCAGAGGCTTGTCTTTTCAAGGTGATTGTTTTATTCACTATTATCCTTGGGAGTTTTATACTGTGTCATAATATTACTTGTAGTATTTCTACCAGCTGTCATAGCTTTCAAGAAGAGAACTAAAATCCTATTGATTTTGAGACATTCAATAAAACCAATTATTGAGCTGTGCATGATTATCTAAACATATACAGGGGAGGATAACTGGTTTAATTTTAGTCAGAAATTAAGAACATTTGCTTTAGCTTCTTTTTTTTTAACTTCTGGTTTCTAGCTGGCAGAAACTTCAACAGAAACATTATAAACTGTGCTATTCCTTTTTAGCATTTTTATTTCCATTAAGTACCATAACTGTTTTCATTCATATCACCATAAATACTTACGAGAACAAGTGGTAGTTTGCCACTCTAAACACTGGCCATATGGAAAGGAGATAATGTAAGCATTTGAGTCAACGCATCGTTTTGTGCTGCTACACCACATGCATTCCATGCCACTGCTGGTACAGTTGGAACATGTGGTCCTTAAAGAGCATGGCTTTTTGCAAGGCCGAGCATTTTGATTTGGACTAACTGAAGGAAAAAGAAAATAATAAAAAATGAAATTTCACTATTTTTCCTGAATTATCATATTTAGGTGTGTGTGTGTGTGTGTGTGTGTTTGTGTGTGTATCTTGTCCATTCACCTTATTTATGACTTCACTTTGTCAATATTTTTCTCCCTCTAGTACATATGCAATCACTCCACAAATGTAAACTATGTGAGGTTCTTCCATTGATCAATTCAAATTATTGTGCCTCTTCATACAACCAATTGGTTAAAACTTCTCATGAAACATGCTACTATAAACTTCTAAGATGCCTATTATCCATCTCTCACTTTGTCTTAGTGTCACAGTCATCTGTCATCGCTGGGAAGGTCTTTTTTTTTTACTTTTCTTGTATTGGTACTTCTTATCTTTCATAATTTTATAGGAGTTTGTCAAATGCAATTGCAATGAGAAAGCCTTTATATTGATTAAATCAATTTTCCTGGGACTTCTCTGATCTTCTTAAAAGTGTCTTCCATTTTTCCTCTACCTATGTTTTGTCTGTAAACATTCTTAACTTATATAACTGTCTTGTCCTTCTTGATGAATGTTTCAAGTTTGCATTCATTTTTATGCATCCTTCTTGTTGCCCAAGGCTTTTATTGTCCATCTTTCTCTGGCTCTCTTAAGGCCACTTTTCTAAAAGGAAAAGATTTTCCTTCTATTTTTCTTTGTTCGTTTTTGCTTCAGTTTCTGTCACAAATGCACCTCATTTGTGCCATACATTTGTTTTACATTTGTGGTTCTGTGATTCTCTAGTTTTCTAAGACTAACCTATACAGTGCACAATGTTTATACTCGCATTTCACACCTGGAAATTCTGTCTGACTAGATTGCACTATACAGCTTTGTTTCATATAAAGCTATTATCTATACTACATTACTTCAAATGTTTGCCAGTGTCCTGGTATAGAATTACAATTATTTTGCTTGTAGCAGATGTGGACAAAAGAGAATAAATTTTCACAAAATTCTATTACTCTGTTGTACAAGGTGAATGATCTGTGAATTTAGTTTAAGATTCCAGTTAAAACCTTTCAATGCAATAAGATATAATTTAAAGAAACTATATCTGCTGGCATGCTTTGTAATCCCTGATATGCTTTGTAATTTAAACAAATGCAATTCAGCAACTATCTCCTAGAAATTAATAAATGCTCATTCTATCCATAATGTAATACTAAAGACATGTAAAGTATCCCACAAGTATATTTATCATATAGTAGATTTTCTTACCAACAGGTTTCTCACAGACAAGGCCATCCACCTTAGCTGTACAAGGATTTGCTTTTAAACCTGCTACTTCAGCCCTTTCAAGATAGGCACAAAATCCAGAATCATTTGGTTCTCCAGGAAGCCACTGCAATGTTGTATTCGTAAAGGGAGACATATCATCCCATCCCCAGTAGGAGATGTTAATCTTGCGTAGACCCACCCAAGGAGATATTTTCTGTGAAGGAGAATGTAAACGTCCATATGAATAATCAAAGATGGATACTTTTATTACACATTACCTGTTACATATTACAGCTATGTTAATGATACTTTGCACAACCAGCTTAAATTATGTGAAATATAATTTCATATTATTAAAATACATTATAATCACAGAAATTATAGTCATATAAAATACAGTAACTATAATTATTTAATGTTGGGTCTTAAGATTAATTCTGGAGTATTTTTTTTCTAATTTCAAGCCAAGTACACATAGGACTATTTTCCACTTGACAAGTTTGTGATACTGACAGATATAAAACATTTAAATGAATAAATAAAAAACAAAATAGCCACAAATCCTGACAAACAGGTAAAATTTACACTTTTATTTGTAAAAGTCATTCATTTGGGAAGAAAAACAAATGTTCTTTTTCTACATAGACTTTAAAGCAGGAGACTTAATTTTCCCAAGGGCCTGTATGAGAAACTGATTGTTGTGGAGGCCACTGTACTGCCCGATGATACTGCTCCACCCCCAGTGGTGGCGTTCAGCCAGTTTGCGCCTATTCAGGAGAACTGTTTGTTAACTTTCTAAGCAGTTTGGACACTGGTTGTTTGAAGAAATCTCCTTCCAACAGCGTTTTTTTTTCTACTTTACAGGGATAATCCTGTCAGGAAGGTAGGAAGGAAAAATTCATGTGTGCCTCTGTGTTGTTTCTAGCCTAATCCTTATCTTTATTGTCCTGTTTACAGAAACTGCCTCTCCAATTAAGCTTTGTTACATTGTAACTAACAGCTAATGATTCTTGGCAGTTCGCCCAGACTTTCTGTTGCCTTAGCTGATTCTCTGGAGGGGCTTGACTTTCTTAAAGGGAAGGGTTGTTTTAAGCTTTTTACACTGCTTCCTGACACTGTCATTTTGGGGTGTACTTCCAAAGAGGCAAGATGCAATCTTGGCACTCTGTCAGATTTTTTAACTGCCTTTCTGTGATCTTCCCTTAAATCTGGATGATTTCCTTAGGCTATATTGTAAGATGAGTGAGACTAGCTGATATCTTTAAGTGATGCAAATGGATCTAAGCATTGCTTCCTCTGGGTGGAAAAGGGTGCTTTGTCAGTTCACCGAGCACAGGAGTCTCTTGTCTATGGAGATTCTTCAGTCATCCAGGTCATGGTTGTCCCAAAGGTGCTTTTTTTCAAGAGGCAACTGGACTTTCCTGGTTTCCAGAAAATCTAGTTGCCTCTTGGGACAGAAGTTTCTTGCATTGTTTTGGAGTGGCCAAGGTGCATGATTGCTCACTGAAAGTAAGATTTTTTTAAAAATAGGGTGTGGATCCCCCAATTAGTTTTAGTTTTCTCTCATGATAATAAGGCTTAGTAACATGGCACCAGGCTTGAAGTTTATTTAGATATCTGTGGCATGTACTAATTTTATCATGATCCTGAAAAGCTTGGGAGGGTTGAACCTGGGTCCCCTATATATGTTGTTAATTTGTCTCTTTAGCTCGACATTTTGTAGTCCAAATATGCCTACCCACTTTCTGGAGAGCTTAAATGATCTCTCTTCTACAGGGTTTCACTTTATGAGCAAGAGTTGGCAGCTGATAATTATCATTGCATTTTAACTATTTTAATTTCTCAAGGTGCTCTGGCACCCTCCTGATTTGTAACTCCAGCTTGCAGGTATTGCTGATGAAAAAGAAGGCATTCAATAGAATGGTTTAGGTTTCCATGATAGCTGTGATTGTCAATGTGTATTCCCCCATTTCTAATCTAATGATTGGTATTTAGGGCAGCTTTTTGCAAGCAAAGAAGCATTCTGTATTTTTGTAATCAAGGTAATCCTTGACTTAGAACAGTTCATTTAGTGACCATTCAAAGTTACAATGGCACTGAAAAAAGTGACTTATGACCATTTTTCACACTTATGACTGTTGCAGCATCCCCACATTTATGAGAGGGCGGGTGAGGTGAAGCACCCCTAGAAGTGAGTGATTGAATTGGCCATGCCCACCCGGTCACATGACCACTCAACCACACCTACCCAACTGGTCATTAGGGCAGAGAACCGGTTGTTAAATTATTTGAATCTCACCACTCCCCACTGCTAATGATGTTTTGCATCCAACGCTGCACCAATGCCTTGCCCACTCTTGGCATGCTGATGCCCTATCTTCATTCCTAATGCGCTCCCCGTTGCTAATGCCACTGATGCTGCAGGCCAGAATGGGACCATCCATAAGCCAAATATGGCTGTGGACTCTAAAATTCTCAGGTCTGCTTTAAAGCATGCATGCACAATTGGGTTACATTGTATACATCTTTGCACTGATAATTGCTTAATTGTTTATTAAATGTATAAGTCATTTCAATTATCCAAAGAACTCTAGGTGATATATGGAGACATGAACACAACAAAACAACTAGGAAAAACCCCAAACATATTTATATCGGAGAGTCAATTAAATGTAGTACTTAAGATAGTGGCTTATATATTGGAAGAATGCGAGTTCTAGTAATCTATTAGGCTTGAAAGCCAGCTTATAACTCTGGACCAATTCGTAGAAATTGAGGGCCATGAATCCATTCAGTTTTAAAATGGAAAAGTCTTCATCTACAGCCATTCAATCTTACAAAGGTTAAATTTGAGCCAGTACTTTCTCAACCATACTCTAAAAGTATGTAGACACCAAGCAGAATCTCAGAAGCATTACTTCATTAGCCAGAAATTGAGCTACATAAATAATATCTACATATTGATTAAACCTGATCACATGCCATTATATGCCTTCCCACCAAATATAAATGTTGGGTTAGTCCAGCCAGTAATAAATACTTGGAAGTGTATTGCCTAGAAAAAATAGAATTACAATTACAGTAATAGGTTAGAAAATGTTATGAGAACTTGAGAGGATAGCTGGGAGGCTTTACTATATTGTATAAATCAGTATTTTTTGGCAACATCTAGATATGTTATCCTGAGCACCCAGAATTCCCAACCAATATAGTGATTGCTAAGCTATGGGAATAGAAGCTCACATTGGAAGTCGCTATGGTTAGGAAACATTATATTAAATTATGTCTGTAACAAGGAAGTAATCTAAAATGAACTCAAATGCTCTAAATCATCATGACTGTAGTCTGAAGGTTCCAGCTGGCACATGAAAGAAATTCAAGGAACTCTCAACAAGTATCTCTGACATCTGATAACACATTCAAAATGATATACAGAATAAACAGAATCGGAGCTATAGATATGAAAAAGAATGAAAAAGAAATTACTTTTGGGTGTAGATAAAATCAGAAGAAAGATATTATTCACAATAATATTTCATTAAAAATTTTGATAAGTAAATGATTACTACAAATGCATGCATTTTTTGCTATTGATTGAATAGCGCATGTGGATTACTTCAGAAAATCTCAGTAGTTCAAGATGTAATTTATTTGAATAAGGCCATGTTTAATATTATATTTTCTTTCAGAAATTTAAAAACAGCAACAAATGGAACAGCACTTTCATCAATCAATATTATAATGACAAGATACCAAAAACTATATTCTTTGATTTTTAGCGGTTCTATATAATTAAAAAAGGAAATTACAGCAACACACATGATTTGAGACAAAACTCTGATGCATTTTATGTAGTGTATCTGGAGTAATTTATTATTTGAGGAGGAGGAAAAGTAACAAAGTTCTAAACAAATTTATTCATCTTCTGATTAAAACCTTATTTTTTAATATCAGGTATTGAATATCATGTAATTTGTGAAGGCAAACCTAAATGTAAATATGTACCTATTATCTATGTCTTTGGTAATGCATTATTAAACACAATACAATGTCTTTATTAGTGCAAGAATTATTTTTTTCTAATAAATCTATACAATCATTGCAAAGTCATAACTCCTAATTTTGGCACGTAAGTATGCTGTTTATGAGTCAAGGCTAATATAAATGTTTTGAAAGGGAAAAAGCTTATTCATCTAAAATTAGACTATAAATAGTTATTTTACTCCATTGATTGTAATAGAAATTAACCAATCAGCTTGTTGCTCAAGCTTGATATCAGGGGCTGAAAGAAAATAACTGGCCCAAAGTCACTCTTCCAGCTTTTGTGGCCATAGGTGAAATAGAACTTCCAGCATCCTATTTTCTAGCCTGGTGCCTTAACTGATGCATCAACCTGGCTCTCCTTAGTTTATTTTAGCTATTGTTTATTTGTTCATTATTATTATCATATTTATGTATTGTTTTTCTGCTTGTCTTAAAAGTCAGATTGTATAAGTACTACTACATATGAGAATATTCTATGCTACACTAGAAAGATTAATAACTTTATTTAGCATAAAGAAAATGGTATCTACTGGCAATAAGACATGCTGTGGCATCTATGAATAACATTTATGTTTTATGAAATCATGTCTCTATTAATATAAAAGAAAAATAAATCAGTACCTAGTGTACTAATTGAAAGGAAAAACCAGATAAATTGTTAGCCACATATCCCTAGCCAATTATAAGGAACAGTTCTCTTAAATATAAATGCACAGTTCCAAAAGGAAGACACTACATTATTGAAAGGATGCGTATATACATCCTTCATTTCTTGTCTCCATTCCCTATACAATTGTTACTGATTGGAGTCTGAGAAAGGAATTGAAAAAATTGGCATGCATCTACTATACTGAGTTACTCACAAGATTTATATTTTCTTTTTTTTCTTTTATTAATACTAAATTCATTGGTAATTTATCCAATAGTAGAACAGCTAAAAATAAAAATTATAAAGATCAATGTAAAGTGACCTTTAGTTATAATTTTCTTTCTTTCCATAAATAAACCTGGGCAATCCAACCTAACTGAAGGAAATGCAATCAAAATGTTTTCAGAAATGATAAAATCAATGACAATATGCCACTAATGATACCAATTGACATTATTTGCAAATATAGTAATGATATTAAATTTATTTTTTAAAAAAATTGGATTCAACTCTATGAACAATACTTTTGCTAAATTTTAAAAACTAGAATTCAGATCTTTATCACTTTAGTATGGAATAATAAAAATAAGAAATCCTTAGCAGCAACTTCAATTACTATAATACATCAACAAATTCTATGTACTTGGTATCTGGTTGAGTAAAATGTATATTTGTTTCTATGATTTGTCATCACCATTTCCTAAAAAGAAATCCAAAATCAACTTTATATGACCTTATGAATTATTCAAGTTACCTGGACAGTGTACTTCTGTATTTCATCCAAAACAAACTCTACCTCTTTGGAAGTTGTTAGTGAAGCAAGAATCCCATTTAAGCCATAACAATAAAGTCTGGCATTGTCATAGTTTTCACGACTAGAGTTTATACGAAGGCAAGCATCTCCAACATGATTCCATCCTTCTCCACATAAGTGAGCTAGTAAAAAATTACACAAGATTAAAATTGTATTTTAAAAATAATCCATTTTGAACAGCAGAAGTAATCACCTTTCATACTTATGAAACATATCTCATATACATATGCTTTATATATGTTTTAAGGGGGTATTTATATGTATGGTATTCAGCTTTGTTCGGGTATTTTCCCATGCCGAAGCCAAGCCACAATACAGGAAACACAATGTTGACAGCCAATCAAGACAAAAAAACACTACAAAACAGACAGAAGATATTAGAAACACCAATCAAGCAGAACACAGCAAACTCCAAGACCAATAAACACATGTGGGAATTATTCTTTGTTCTTTGTGTACGTGCTAGGACAACGAAGCCTTCTGGTGGTTGGCTGGAACACGAAGCAAGGAGCAAGGACAAATTGTTGCCATTTCTTAACCAGAACTGTAGCAAACTTAAACTTTGCAGCTTTGTATGCTTATGCGAATGATCAGTGCATTTTGTGTGATGTAATGCGTTTGTGATAGGACGCTAACAAAAATTGCTACGTTAACAAAGATTGCTTCTAATAAAAGAGGGTTTCAGGGTTTGCTCTGAGCTCTCATCCCGAGACAGCCTTGCGTTGTGTCTTCTTTTCATGAGAGACCACCACAACTGGTGACCCCGACGTGATCCACTCAAAAGTGATACGTCTTTGGCCCACCCATTCTCATCGTCTGGAATAGACTTGGTGCACCCCATCCGCTTGAATCGCTGGCAACAACGGATCCCTCGTGAGTATGGGTGGTAGATTCTCTAAGGAGCAGGCAGCTCACATTCAGGAAATCAGAGAATTGACCAAACGAAATTTTTTTATCTTTAAAAAGGGAGGCTCCCTTCATGCCCCCCTCACAAAAACCTCTATTGAGGAACTCCTAGAATACATTTGGCAACACTGCCCTTCTTATCCGGCTAAAGGCAGTATCAAAACTACAGTATGGAAGGAGATTGGAAAATACCTTCACGCAAGTCCTATGTGAATCCTGCTGTACAACTCTTGCCCCCCGCTGTGGCACCTGTGTCTCTTAAACCGACTGCCCCCCTGGAGGCAAATGAGGTCGGTAAACTTCCCCCCTTCTCCTGACCCCCCCCCTCACCCAATCCCTCTTCTTCTTCTCTTGCTCTCCCTTCTGTGCCTTCCTCTCCTGCCTTACCCCCTCCTATGGGCGCGGTTCATGCCGCCATCGCTGCGGGAGTTAGAACTGGCGAGTTAGATCACTCCGACTGCCCATCGGCATTCCCGTTAGTTTATACGCAGAATGCGCAGGGACAAAACGTCCCACACTGGGAACCCATCCCTGTTAAATTAATCAAGAATATCAAACAAGCTGTGCAAATGTATGGTATTCAGGCTCCATTTACGATGGGATTATTTAGAATGATGGCTAACGCCCATATAACGATCCCAGCTGATTGGCATAGCCTTTTTCATATGACTCTAACAGGGACTCAATTTGTTGTATGGCGATCGGAGTTTCTCCATCATTGTCGACTATTGGCAGCTCAAAATCCGAATTTTACCGCAAATGAACTGGCAGGAGAGGGTGCCTTTGCTGCTCCCACAGCTCAATATAATAGCCATATTAATGCTCTTAACCTTTCTGCACAAGCTGCTTTGCTTGCTCTCTCTCGCTTGGATGACCCTCATACCTCCGCACAATCTTTTGCAAAAATTCTACAAAATTCCAATGAACCCTATGCCGATTTTATTGAATGCCTCCAAACGGCCCTACAAAGGCAAATTACAAATGAGGTGGCTCGGCAGGAAATTCTTCTTAAATTGGCATATGAGAACGCTAATGCAGACTGTAAAACCTTGCTTACTCCCTTGATTAATTCTCCAGATGCCACTCTAGCCCAATTCCTACAAGCCTGCAGGGTGGTGGGAACACACCAATACACTTCCGAAATGATGGCTGCAGCTATCACCAGAGGTAATAAGCCATCTGGTACTTGTTACAATTGTGGGAAGCCCGGCCATTTTAAATCACAATGTCGTGCCCCCGGCGGGGGGGCAGCAAAGCCCTCCGCCAGTAGAGATGTTCGACCAAAAACAGTCTGCCCGAAATGTAAGAAAGGCTATCATTGGGCTAATCAATGTCGATCAAAAACTGAACACTCGGGAAATGAGTAGAGGGGCCGGCAGCTAGCCCCTCTCCCAAGGCTGCCCATATACCTTCCACTGTGTATGAATTATCAGTGGCAGAAGATGTGCTCATATCCTTTCCCCATCTACCACTCTCTGTCGGCGCACAGCTTCCTCCTTCTGCCTCCTTCTCCTCCGATAAAACTGCTCTTATACAATCTCACCCTCATGCCCTCCTAAAAGGAATCTCTGTGGTTCCCGATCTGCTTTATCCTTCCTCAAAACTCTCAGCCATTAACCTTTCTGTGCTATCTACTCTTCCAACAAAGTTACAAAAGGGTGACGTCGTAGCAAAAATGATCATGGTACCGCAATTTCCCTCTGATGTGCTTGCCCTCACTAGATCTATCACCGAAACTAAGCCCACACTCTTGGCTTTAATCAAGGGTCGCCGCTTCACCGGTCTTCTGGATTCTGGTGCGGACGTCTCGGTGATACGCTCTGATGAGTGGCCTACAGACTGGGAAACAGAGACCTCCCCATCGGTAAGAGGTGTAGGAGGGATTAAAACGGCTCGCATCAGTAAATTTTGGCTCCCTGTGACTTCTGAAAATCTCACAGGGACTGCACAAATTAAGCCCGTCATCCTCCCCCTTCACATGAATTTGTGGGGGAGGGACTTGCTCTCTCAATTTGGCGCTAAATTGCAGCTAGAATGACTCACCCTCTTCCCCTTCGCTTAACCTTAACCACGGATGTTCCTGTTTGGGTTGATCAATGGCCGTTGCCAGCAAATAAATTGCTTGCATTGCAGCAATTAACAGCCGCATCCGCTGCTACTATTCTATCCGCTTTATCTCTTTCTCCCCTAACCCCTTGGGACAGTCATAACTATTTTCATCAAAATAAAAGGGCTCTTATGAAGGAATTCCAAATCACCGCCCAAGAGGCTGCTGCAATTATTCAACAATGCCCTACTTGCAGCAAGCAAGCCCCTGCCCTGCCAATGGGAGTAAATCCCAGAGGCTTAAAAGCCTGCCAAATTTGGCAAATGGATGTAACCCAGTATGCACCTTTTGCACCATGGAAATATATCCATGTTTCAGTGGACACATACTCAGGGTTCATCATGGCCTCCCCACAAAGAGGAGAGACCATAAAACATGTCATTAACCACTGCATCTGGTCATTTGCGTGCCTGGGAAAGCCCTCAGAATTAAAAACTGATAATGGCCCCACCTATACTAGTACCAATTTTGCTACCTTTTGTAAACAATGGGGCATTTTGCACAAATTTGGCATTCCATACAATTCTCAAGGAATCTGACCCTAAAGAATGCTCTTGACAAAGTTCAAAACTCGATGGGGAAACTCACCCCAGGGCTACCCACGCTGCAAAACAAGCTTAACTTGTGCTTATTTACACTGAATTTCCTGAATGAGTCTGGCACACCTGCTTCTTCTGCCGCCTCTCGACACTTTGGCTCTCCATCCAAGGATGCTCCTAGACCTCCAGTCTACTTTCGACAGTTGCCAGATCCCACATGGCACGGGTCTGCTGAACTTATAACCTGGGGACGAGGGTACGCTGCTGTTTCCTACAACAACGCCACCACCTGGGTCCCCGGACGACAAGTGAGGCCTTTTCTACCCAAACCAGCCTTGCCTACATCAGCATCATGAAGCTGCCCACTGCATTCATCATTTGTCTCCTGGGCTTCCACATCGTTCCTGCCGATACGACAGCCACCCCATCCTCCTGCGACGCCTGCATCAAAACTACTCGCAGCGGAACGAAAACCCAATCCACCCTGATCTATCATACTTTGAAGCCTGAGTGCAACTCCACAACGGTCTCCCCTTGTCTGCATAACAACACTCAATATGCGCGATGTTACACTGCCGAAGGCATTCAGTGCTATGAGCCTAAGGCAGTGGGACCCATTACAGCATCCCTATATGTCTATGCATACAAAGGTGGCTCCAGTTCTGATCTTGCAGGAATGTTCTCTACCAGTCAAACAAAAAATGGGTACATAACCCATAATGTCACTCGGGGGGTACCAACACCTCAGTATGCTTTGATGTTTGCCTTGCCATCAGCAAAGGTCAAGGTCCTAACGACGCTGCAGGAGTTACCTGCGGCTCACACAGCTGGCAGGAAACTTATCTACAGGAAAAGAAATATCTCTTTCAAAAGGTGTCCGGGACTAACGTGGGGGCCACCACTGTTTACAACTACTGGTACACCCCACCTATTGACTCTGCTCAATTTATCCCTCTTGGCTGAGAAAAAAGCCACTGCGCAGGTAATGGCTCTCTGGAATCAACAAATAACTAACACATATGGACCACTGCCATCCGAAGATGAGATAGGAGAGCCAACCTGTGACGATCCAGACGAGGACAAGATGTTTGTGATGGTTGAAGAAGTCATGAACGCCGTGGATAATATCAGCATGCACAGCACTCTTGCCTACGCGCCTGACAAAGACTGTTATTGGGACTAAAACACTCCCTGTCTCTTAAAAAGGAAAAACAGGGGAGATGTGGGAATTATTCTTTGTTCTTTGTGTACGTGCTAGGACAACGGAGCCTTCTGGTGGTTGGCTGGAACACGAAGCAAGGAGCAAGGACAAATTGTTGCCATTTCTTAACCAGAACTGTAGCAAACTTAAACTTTGCAGCTTTGTATGCTTATGCGAATGATCAGTGCATTTTGTGTGATGTAATGCGTTTGTGATAGGACGCTAACAAAAATTGCTACGTTAACAAAGATTGCTTCTAATAAAAGAGGGTTTCAGGGTTTGCTCTGAGCTCTCATCCCGAGACAGCCTTGCGTTGTGTCTTCTTTTCATGAGAGACCACCACAAACACAGACCAAGATTCCCAACCAATCAGGATGAAGAAAAAACCATTCTGGCACAGCAGTAGGCTAGCACCAAATTTAAAATAGAAATGGCTGTGAAAGCCTGACTCACAGACAAACACAATACTCAAGCCTGATAATGGCAGATGAGATTCTGCCGAAACATCGCTACAACTTTAAAAGCACAACTATAATGATGTGGGAAAATACCCAAACAAAGCTGAATACTATAAATAGATGATAGATGATAGATAGATAGATAGATAGATAGATAGATAGATAGATAGATAGAT